ATATTGCAAATGAGCACTACAATAAGTCTTAATAGTTAACATCCATCTCCATACATAGTTTTAAAAAATATTTTTCTTGTAATGAAGACTTTATAAGATCTACTTTCTCCGGGCAGCCGGGTGGCTCAGTTGGTTAAGCGTCTACCTTTGGCTGAGGTTATGATCCCAGGTTATGATCTAGCCCCGCATCTGGCTCCCTGCTTCTCCCTCTCCCTCTGCCATTCTCCCTGCTTGTGCGTGCTCTCTCTCTCAAATAAATAAAATCTTTTTTTAAAAATCTACTCTCTTATGCAATGTAGTGCTATTAACTACAGTCACCATGCTGTACTAAACATTTCCATTATTTATTTACTTTCGATCTGGAAGTTTGTAACTTTTGACCCCCTTCACCCATTTCAAGATTCTATTTTAAAATTGAAAATATTTTATTAGTATATAAATTTTCTGATATTGAATCCCTAATACTTAACATTTTAATTTTTACCATGATTATATATCAAAGATATAACTTTATCACCAAGCCTTTTATAGATACTCTCAAATCCTTTTGTTTGCCCGAGTATGCTATTCAAATACTATCATTTTCTATGTTTGTCATAATGGGCAAAGATTGGAAGCACTGCTCTAGGATCTCAATATCTCTCTTACCCTCCCTCCCTTTCTCTCTCTCTTCCTCCCCCTCCATCCCTTCCATAACCCAACACTGAAACAGGTAACATACAAAATAACATCCTCAGGGTCACACAAGCCACCAGAAACAGGAGATGAATCATTTGTGATGGAAACAAATTCTAAATTGAAGTCTAATGGAGCCAAAGCTGTTCATGATCACTTTTCCATGTGTGACATTCTCTTTCAGTGGTTCTCTCTCTTCCCTCCCACTTGGCAATCAGGAATACCTCCTGATTTGGGATGGAAAGTTACCTACAATCAAGGAATAACCTAGTGGGCACTAGGATGGGGCTTGGAGTAAAGGAAGTATGGGGTGGTTAACTGAGGTCAGCTCTGCTCTAAACTATAATGTCAAAACCTAAGGACATGGGGCCTAGGATTGGGCCATCTGACTTTTTTTTTCCTGATCAGCTTTTTAAGTCCTAAAGGAAAGAGCCAAGAGGGCCTTCAATGCCTACCAAGCATCTAACTCAACTGGCCAAGGTAGAATACCAGTTAGGGGTTAGGGCCCAAAGATCAAGCCAGCAACAGAGCACATTGTTTGGAGAATCTATGCCCATGTGTCTTGAGGACCCAGCAGAGGAGGCTGCTGCCACAGTCAGCAATGGTGAAAGGTGAGGATCTTGGTCACCATCTGTCCCGATCTTCAACTCTAAATATTTGAGTGTCTACTGTACATTTTCACACAAATATACTATGGACACTGCTAGCTCAACAGAACTAACACTGAACTTATTGCGTCTACCTACCTTTAAACAAAAGCTCTTTCTTCCCTCGTATCCCCTCAGTTGAACGTCAGCCCCACTCACCCAGTCACTTTGACCAGAGAGTATTGGGAGTCATAATATTTTCATTGAAACATAACTCATATCCCCCCTCTCACCTGGATTATTGGAAGAGTCTCCTCACCAGTCTCTCTACCTCCAACCTCTGCCCATTTCAATTTACCTTCAATCTTGTCTACAGAGTCACTTTTCTAAATTGCCAATCTGGCCATATTATTCCTCGCTTATAAAGCTTTGATAGCTTCTTTTGCCTATAAGATAAAATCCAAATTCTCTCATATGGTGTAAAAGGCTTTCCATTTCTTGGGCCGCCTACTTCTCTGGTCTCCTCCTTTGCCAATTTGCCAACGACCCAACACATATGAAGCCCTACCCCCTCTGGTGGAAGGCTCAGTTCTTGAAACCCACCTGAGGATCACCTGCCCATCTCCGGATATGGCTCAAACTCTGACTCCACCCAAAGAGAATTACCCCCTCTTCTCTATGATCCTCATGGTACCATATAGATCAGGGGTACTCTACCAGAAGAAATTTTGTCCCTATTGGATATTTGGCAATGTCTGGAGACATTTTTGGTCACTGAAACTGAGAGTTTCACTTTATCACACCTGATTACACATCTGTTTCTCCCTATTAGGCTACAAATTCCTCAAGGGCAGGCCCTATACCTTACCTTTACATCCTCAGAGGTGAGCAGGGCTAAACACATAGTAGGTGCTCACTAAGTATCTGTGAAGTGAATTAATGAGAGAAAAATCAAGTCAGTCTTATCTCACCACTGTGCCTAACAAGCTAACAACTGCATCTCCAGACAAACAAGGTGGGGACATAGATGCACAAGATCAGTATAGTTAGGGCAAGTGGGTCTGGCAGAGATGCCTTCAGTTATGACCAACTACTTGGCCCATAAAGGTTGAAATCGTCACTTTTCTCATGTCTTCTATCGCCTCACCACCTCCCGTATTAACCCATGTGGTCACCAAATTCTGTTGATTCTCTACCTGAGAAATAGCTCCCACACCTTGGCCATCGCCATGGTCAAAGCCCCCCACCAGCTCCCATCAGCACCACTTTTCTGTGCCCTCTTGCTTGGCTTCTCTGCCATCTGCAAATTGAGAAAGTCAAATTAAATCCCTGTAGTTTCTTCCAGCTCTAAAATGATAAGATTTGCAATCTTATCCAGTGACAATGAATTCCAGGTTTTCCATTAAATAATTCATATAAGTCAATATTCCTTCCATTTATCCATATATGGATATAAAATTTCAAAACACTAAACAGGAATAATTATAATTTAGAAAGCCTTAAAACCATCCATGACTTTATGTCTTGGAAACAAATTTGAAAGTCAACAACTGTAATTGGTCCTCCCTACCTAGTAACCCCCTCACAGATGCTGGTCTCATAACAAATCCAAACAAGGAGTAAAGTATTACGAGTACAAAAATGTGTACATGCACTTTCAACCAAGGGATGAGCAATACTTTCAATTAAAAAGGAATCTAAAAAGAAAACAGCAACATCATTGTAAGAACAGCGAGCTAGAGACTCATTCTGCTACCTCAGCACTCCCCAACCCCTCCACCTTTCAGAGATGCTGGGTTGACCTTTTTCGAAGGAATGTGTGGTCTTTCTCGAATATCGTAATTGCCATCCGTAACACCAACAGCCTTGTGTTATAAGCATGCGCTTGTATTACTGTTGTGTGGATACAGAAAATGAAGTACAGATTATGTAACTTATCCATGCTCCCACAGCAGGTCCCATTTATGTAATTTATCTAGGTCCCCCAGGAGATTGAGAAGAAGCACCCAACATGCACTCCAATGCCAAGTAGGACCTTTTTCTCATCAGTTTTTCTCCTGCAAGAAATCCCTCTATCTTATTGGCAGACAGCGTGCAGTTTTGAGATTATCATTTGGCCAATTACTGGAGTAAAAATTGAGGTGCAAGTTTATTTTAGGAATGTATAGCTAGAACCCCAGATCAAATTAATTCACAAGAGAATCAAAGGCTGAGAAAAAAACAATAAATGCTACAATCGGTTTCATGCTTTTCTGAACAGGGAAATCTTTACAGGATGATAAACTGTGTTTAACTGCAACTGTTAATTTGAGTGAATATTAAGTAATCATGGTACTTTTTCCTCTATGGGCCCAATGCAGCTTCTGAATTTTTCTCAGTGTCGTGCTCTAGGCAGGAACTATTAATTGAGTCAGGCACTCAGAGGAAACATTTGCCTCCCTTACATCACCCATACAATAATCAGGTTTAGAGAGTAAAAACAAATCTATTTAAATTACTTTATTATCAATCTTGTAAATATAATTGTAAAATAATTATTTTATTCCCAGTGGCCTAACTTGGAATATATGGAAGAAAGTAGTGGAATGGTTTTTCCAGAGCCATATCAGTTATTTCGGTCCTCTTTAATAAGGTTTTTGAGAGGAAAACCTGTGTGAACTCAGTAGATATTGAAAAATACAAATAAACGAATTTTATTTCTGCCATCCTGATCTGAGCTGTTGGAGTAGAATCATAAATCTCGAATTTGAAGGGCTACCCATTCAGTGAGAAACAAGTGATTAATAGAGTAAAGGATAAATAAATGTATTCCATGTTTCAAGTTCCTCAGAAGCAAGTGGGGAAGCCCCCCTCCGCCCAGTTCGCTGCTAGATGGAGCTTGGCCAATGAACCTTGACAAAGTCCAAGTCCTGCCTTCATCAAGGAGGCATGCGAACAGAGCCTAGCCAAGGGCAAAAGCATCTCTTTCCTAAAACAAAAGTTAAACCCCTTCCGTTCTCGGATTCTTCAAGAAGCATTACATCAACAGGCTTAAGCATTAGTAAACACAATAATAAACTAATAAAAATAAATATAAATGCAAATACGAGAGAGAGTGTATGTGAGAGAGAGGAAAGGGGCCCAAAAGAGTTTTCCTTTTAGGAAAGGAAATTCCCCCCCGCCTCCACAACCTTTTCAAATGTAAATCCTCCCAGGAGTAGTCCGCCGACACCAATACCTCTTGTAAAGCATCAGCAGAAAGAGTAGGGCCAGGATATAAAATAAATGAGGGGGAGGGGAGAGACGCCCTCGGGAAGCCTCCAGGAGGATAAGGGGGCTCTTGGGGACCCTAAGTCGTCGACCTCTTCTGTTCCCTCCAGCTGTCTAGCGCTGCACGAGGACCACATCCCCCTAGTTCCTACGACGTTCACAAATCCCGCGCGGAAACCCCCGCACTTTCGGCGATTTGCTGGCCTCCGGGGTGGGTCAGGCAACTTGAACCTGCACAACTCAGATCGTCGTCTGTAGAAACCCATGTTCAAACACCACGAGGCGGCACACGGGCTTCACACAAACGCATCGCGGGAGATCGCCCGAGTCTGGGGGCTGGAAGGATCCACGGTCCCGCCTCCGGGCGAGCAGAGCCCCCGCCCCGCGCCCCGCCCCGCCCCGCCCCGAGTCCGCCCACGGTCATTACAGTCCGGGGTCTCGCCCACGGGTCACTCCGCCCGGACAGCGCTCCCGGGCCGGCCCCCGACGATGGAGAGGAGGGCTCGGAGCTCCTCCAGAGAGGCCCACGGGAGAGGCGGCAGGTCCCCCCACAAGGAGAACAAGAGGGCTAGGGCGGAGAGGGGCGGCGGAGGCCGTGGGCGCCGGGACGCAGGGCGCGAGCGGGCGGGGAGCCGGGGGGAGTCCCCCGCGCCCGCAGCCACCGTGGTGGACGTGGATGAGGTCCGGGGCTCCGGTGAGGAGGGCACCGAGGTGGCGGCGCTGCTGGAGAGTGAGCGGCCCGAGGAAGGTATGGCAGGTCGGGGATGTGGGAGGCGGGGTGGCCTTTCCGCGTGGTACCCAAGGGATGGCCGATCGAGGGAAACGAGTCACGGCGCTGAGAGCCACCGAGGCCAGAGCAGCCTCCTGGACCTGCTCGGATTCCCAGGAAATGAAAGGCCTGAGTTAGGACCCGCACGTCCTGCCCAGTGTGGGGACCCAAATACATCAGAAGAAATACAGATAACATCAACTAAATACAGTTGGTCTGAGGCGAGCCATGGATAGGAAGTGGGAGGGAGAGTGGTCCAGGTTGGGGACCAATGAACACTTTTGGCAAAGGAATCTTGCAGCGGTTTTTGTGGCCAAGGAAGAGTATATGGGCACCTAATTTAAGTAAAGACATGCATGAACTGGTGGTTCTGGGCAACTGTGCAGCTTATTCTTCTCTCCTCATCCCCAACCCTCAGTCTTACCTAAAAGTATTTTAAACTTTCTCTGGGGTGATCATTTGGCCTCAGAGCCAAGTGGAGAAGAGCTAGACCTGAATTTAAATCTCAGCTAGCTAGCCATGTGATCAGAGGTGGGGCCTTAACCAGCTATGCTAGGGGGACAACCACAGTACCTACCTCGGAGGGTAGGTGTGAGGATAAAAGGAGATATGCCATCCAAAGCACTTTGCACAAAGCTTGGAGCAAAGAACAGACCCAATTTGAACAGAACCCCGTTGCAAGCTAAAATAGAGCAAAGGTAGACCAAAGGAGGGAATCACAGGGAAAAATATCTTTTTGGCTTCTGTGGGTAAAGCACCTCTTGGGAACAAATTTATCTGCTTCCAGTTCTTTTTATAGTGAATGGAAGAAAAAAATTCATTACACCTTAAGTGTAGAATGACAGTGGTCTCAAGGAAAGTCAGTAAGGAATCGTGTATTATTTTGCTTTCTGAGGGCTATGAAATTTTAACATCATTTCCTGGTTACCAGCAATGCAGTATATGCGGGAACATTGAAAGTTACGATTTGACAGATTCCTACAGTTGCAGTGCAGTTTATATGGACCATGTTAATGCCCTTTTGCCCAACGGATGCCCTTTCGGCAGTCAGAAACTTCCAGGCATTAAAGGTTTGTTAGGTTCAATGCTACAGCACTGCTGAGGTGAGAGGTCTTGTAATTGTGTGTCAGACCACATCGGTTGGGGTGAGCCACGAAGGGAGCTCCCATGTATGGGAGTCTTCACTATGTGCCAGGCACACACTGGGTGTTTTACTGAGTATTATCGTTTCCGCATCACTGACCAGAAAACATGCGGGGAAATTAAGTACCTTGCCAAAGACCTACAGCTGGAAATGGAGGGGCCAGAATTCCAGAGTACAATGACCTGACCGAAAAGCCCATCCTTGCACGGCGCTGCCCCGCTTCCGGGTCACGGTCCCAGCACTGCCACCAGCTGTGTGGCCTGAGGCAAGGAGTGTCACCTTTGTGGGCCTCACTCAGTCTCTCCAGCTATAAGGTGGCTAGAGAGAGCCCAAGACCCCAAGCAATAGATGAGAAGTCCCACTGAGGCCTTGCTGAGCCCTTGTCTGGGAAGTTTCTGTGGCTTCCAGGGGCCAGGGAAGCAAGGGCAGCAAGAACACCTCCACCTCCTCACCTCCCACCATGCTCCCTCAGCCAGGCTCCTTAAGACGGGAGAGATGAAAGAGCTCCACCTTACCAAAATGTTGGAGATTCTTACACTATGTCATATCTAAGGCTCTTCCTGCCTTAACATTTAGTATTTCACTATTCATGTAAAACGAACAATTTGAATATTCAAGGAACTCATTCCAAGAGAACAATACTTTGTGAGTAAAGCTGTAAGTTAGATTTGGGGTATAAATATTAGTTTTTTGTTCACATCTCTAACTCTTTTTTTTAAAAATAATTTTTTATTGTTATGTTAATCACCATACATTACATCATTAGTTTTTGATGTAGTGTTCCATGATTCATTGTTTGTGCATAACACCCAGTGCTCCACACAGAACATGTCACATCTCTAACTCTTATGTGAAGGCATTTTGAGGCCTTTCTTCCTTTATAAAATGCTATTTTGTCTGTATGTGTATTTATTTCTTTTTACTTGCCATGGTTACCACTGGCAAGTGAAATATGTTTATAAACTAATTAAACATGGCAATACCACCCTTATTGTCCTTAAGGAAGAATATTGTAAAAACATGATGTTGATAGAGTAGCATTTCCCAAAATAGATTGCATGAGAAATAAATTTTTATGGAACATGAATTTCCTTGGAGAAGACATTGCCTTGTCAAATGTTTGGGAAATCCTGGGTTAAACAAAGCTAAGAATGCTTCTTTACTGCAGGGATTCCCCTCGCCTCAAAATGCAGATGAGCACTAGGGAGCTCTAGAAGTAGGACACAGAACACAGGATTTCCTAAACTTGTTTTCCCAGGGAACTCTTGCTTTGCGAAGCACCCTGTGGGATTAGTGTTCCGTGGGACACACTTCGGGAACTACCATACTATAGCATTTAGCACTGATGTTAGTTTTGGGCTGATGCAGCTTGTGTAGCAAGTGAGCAATTTGGTGATGACCTTTCCAATTATTTTCCAGGCACAGAGATCAAATATTCAAGCCTACCAACTAGTTTTCCTCTTTTTCCCCCCTCCCTTAAAATTAGGCTTTTCACCTTCCTAATCTTTAGTCAACACCTCTATGATGTTTTTAAACTCACAAACAGTATCCGTTCGGCCAGTTTTCCAGTACCTAGAGATTAATATTCTTGAGGTTTCCATAACTGTTACATTTAAGTAATTTTCTCTATCCACTTCTCCTTCATCCTTACAATTCAACAAATATTTATGGAGAACCTATATTGTGTCGGACACTATTCTAGGCCTTGGGGATAGAATGTAAATAACCCAGGAGGTTTGTGTTCCCGTGATTAACTTTCCCTGAAACATTTTCATTTATCACTCAAGCAACATGGACGTTCTGCAGTCCAGTTCCTCATTACTTTTCTTTACAGACACTACTAGGCTAATATTACCCCAATAGAGATGATTTTTCAAAGAATGTCTGGAGATCCACACCCTAATCCAAAGAAGGGACTCTAATGGAGGAATTTGAGACATTTGGGGCAGGTGGTAGACGGGGAAGTCATTTCAGGGAAGATGAGCCTCTGCACACATGTGGTTTGAATCACTTCAGAATCAACACCTGATACATGGTAAGCACACTTCAGTGATTTTCATGTATATACGAAATTCCATACATCAGTGCTATGAAGATTATCTCCTGAGAGAGCTATGAGCTAGTTATTATGAGCTAGTGAGCACCCCCACTGTGTAGATGAGGAAACAGGTTTGAAGAGTTCATTGGCCTTGCTTAAGGTCACTGGACAGAAAATGGTGGAGCAGAACTCAAACCCAAACCTTCTGCCCAGACTCTATGCTTCTTCCAGGTACCCCACTACGGCCTTTCCAGAAGCCTGCTCCACCTTCCACAGCCCCACAGAGCCCTTCACAGACAATGTCCCATCATGTGAACTGACCAGTGATATCCAGCTCCCTCTAAATTTCCAGCAAAGTCTACACACTGCTCTGATCCTCCTGCCAAGAACTGGACCAACAAGTACTGGTCAGTGAATATGGTAACATTCCAATATAATTATTCTTTTCCTTTTTTTTTTTTTCTTTTTAGGTACCAAGTCTTCAGGTTTAGGGGTCTGTGAGTGGTTCCTTGTCCTCATATCCCTGCTCTTCATCATTGCGACCTTCCCTTTTTCAATCTGGTTCTGCATAAAGGTAAGATTCCTCGAGAACCAATAAGGAATTTCCTCGCGCCTCTCAGTGACCCCAGGTCCACTCCTCTGTGACTTTGTATGTGCTGTGCTCTCCACATGGAATAGCCTCCCCTCCCACTCCTCTGCCAGGAGAGCTCTTATTCCTTTCAGACCTTGCTCTCGTGTAACTGTGAAGCCTTGACTCCCCCAGACTATCACGTCCTTCCTTGTGCTCTTGTCTCTCTGCTTTCAGATCCATTCCAGCACTTACCGCACGTATACTCTTTGTCGACACCCAATCTCTCCCATGAGACTGAGAGCCCTCAGGTCAGGCCTACGTCTAGGTCATCTGCACCCTGCAACACAGAGATCAGCCCAGAAGAGATGATGGTGTCCACTTCTGGCACTTGAGGAAACTTCTCAGGCAGCTTCTATACCATGAACGACGATTTGGCCCACAGGTGGTTACACATGCCTGTCCCTGAAGTAAATGAAGGCCATGTCTGTTCAGGAAGCACAGGCCAAGACGGAATTCGAAATGCAAGGGATTTATTGGGAGGCATTGTCTGTGAAAGATTAAGGGGAGAGGGAATAACAGTAGGCAGAGGGAGCCTTCAGACAATGATGCAGGTCTGACAGCTGCGCTATGACATGTGAAGGGAGGGGAGGACAGAGGGAGCCTCCGACTGGGGTGTAGTGTTGGCCAGCCTGACAGGGAACTCCAGAGCAAAGTCGGCTTCAAAGAGGAGTTTCCTGATGGGCAGAAATGGCCAGGCCCGAGTACCCCCGCCATTGTTACCATTGGCTGGGGCTGCTGGGGAAGAACATGTCCTTGGCTAGAAGGCTACAGGTGCTGCTGGGGCCATTGCTGATAGCACTCCTCATGCAGGCTCCTGTCCCCCTCCTCCTTCCTCACAAAAGGGTGTTGGATTTTGTCCAGTGTCTTTTCTGCATCCATTGAGATCATCACGTGGCATTTGCCCTTTATTCTATTGAGATGGTGTAGTACATTCATTGCATTTTGGTTGTTAAACCAACTGTGTGTTCCCAGTATAAATCCCACTTGGCTATGGTGTCTAATCCTCTTTATATGGTCCCAGATTCAGGCTGCTGGTAGTTTGTTGAGGATTTTAAGATTCTATATTCTTAAGAGATATTGGTCTATAGTTTTCTTGGGATGTCTCTCTCTTGTTTTGGCATCAGGGTAATACTGGCCTCAGAGAAAGAGTTGGATGGATTTCCGTCCTCTTTGGTTTTCGGGGAGAATTTGTGAAGGACTGGTATTTTCTTGTTAAATGTTTGGTACAATTCACCAGTGAAACCATCTGGTCCTGGACTTTTCTCTGTGGGAAATTTCAAAACTGCTAATTCAGTCTTTTACTTCTGGGTCTTTTCAGGGTTTGTTTTTGTTTTTGCTTTTCTCAAGTCAGTTTCAGTAGTTGCATCTATACAGGGATTTGTCCATTTCACCTAAGTTATATTTATTTTAAGGCATATAGTCTTTCATAGTGTTTTCTTTTATAATCTTTTTTTTTTTTTATTTCTGTAAGGACAGTAATGATGTTCCTGTCATTCCTTTTTCATTCCTGATTTTGGAAATTTGAGTCTTCTTTTTTTCCCCCCTGATCCATTTAGCTAAATATTTGTCAATTTTGTTGATCTTTTCAAAGAACCAACTTTTGGTTGATTTTCTCTATTATTTTTCTATTTTCTGTTGCATTTATTTCCACTCTAATCTTCATTATTTTCTTCTTTCTGCTTGCCTTAGGGTTAGTTTGCTCTTCTATATCCAGTGTCTTATGGTAGACAATTAGGGTTTTATTTTGAGTATTTCTTCTCTTTTATTGTAGGCACCTACAGCTATAAATTTTCCTCTAAGCACTGCTTTAGTGGCATCCCATATGTTTTGGTGTCTGTGTTTTTGTTTTCATTCAGCTCAAAATATTTTCTGATTTCTCTTTTGATTTCTTCTTTGATCCATTGGTTATTTTAGAGTATGTCATTCAGTTTCTATATATTTGTGAATTCCCCAAACTTCCTTGTTAATGATTTCCAATTTCATTCCATTGTAATCAGATAATATACTTTGTATAATTTCAATAGTTTTAAATTTATTGAGGTTTGCTTTATGACTTGCATTTGATCTATCCTACAGATGTCTCATGTGTTGTTTTTATTATTTTACAGATTTTTACTTATTTATTTGAGAGAGTGAGAGAGAGAGGGCACCAGAGGGGGGAGAGTCAGATGGAGAATCAGACTCCGCACTGAGCAGGGAGCCCGATGCAGGGCTTAATCCTGGTACTCCGGTATCATGACCTGAGTCAAAGACGCTTAACCGACCAAGCACCCAGACGCCCCAATATTTCATGTGTTCTTGAGAAGAAAGTGTATTTTGCTGTTGTTGGGCATTGTGTGTAGATGTCTGTTAGGTCTAGTTTATGTATCGTGTTGCTCAAGTCTTATTTCCTTGTTTATCTTCTGTCTAGTTGTCCTCTACATGATTGAAAGTGGAATATTAAATTCTCCAACTATTTTTGTTGCTTGAATTGTCTATTTCTCCCTTCAGTTCTTTTGGTTTTTGCTTCTTATATTTTAGATCTCTGTTTTTAGGTACATGTATGTTCATCGTTGTTATACTTTCCTAACACATTGACCCTTTTATTGTTATACAATATCTCTCTTTATCACTAGCACATTTTTGTGTTTGTTTTAAATTCCATTTTGTCTTGGGGCCTGGGTGACTCAGTGGGTTAAGCATTGGACTCTTGATTTTGACTCAGGTCATGCTCTCAGGATCCTGGGATTGAGCCCCACATCAGGCTCTGTGCTCAGCAGGGAGTCTGCTTGAGGATTCTCTCTCCCTTTCCCTCTGCGCCTCCCCGTGCATGTGTGTTCTCTCTCCCTCTCTAAAATAATTAAATAAATCTTTGGGCGGGGGGGAAGGATGGTAAACCCTAAAAGTCAATTAGGTAGAGGATACTAAAGCAGAATGATGTGTAACATTTGAGCAAGGTCTTAAAGGAGTAAGGCTCCCCTGCATCTCTAGGAAGAATTTGTTTCTCCCAGTAAAAGCAGAAATGAAACAAGTAATGCCAGGGAGCCAGGAAATTGGGGATGCCTGGGGCCTGCCCTGGGAACCAAGTCTAGGCATTCATTCTCATTCATTGTTTCAACAAACAAGGCAGGATTCAGGCACAGGAGTTGTAAACCTCAGAAGGATCAACAAGACCTGGTACTTGACCCCAAGGCACTTACAGTGGGGTAAGGGAGCCTGTTCCCTTAGGAGCACACTTCAAAATGTGTTACTTTTGGTCTCTTCATGACATTTTCATATTTGACTAATTATTATTCAGTGGAGCTTTCTAAAGTGGAGGGAGGATGAAGAAGGAAAACATGTCTACAGTCACAAATAATCCATTTGTTCAACAGAAGTTCACAGGTGGGGCATATATACAAATAAACAGACCAAATAAGCTAATGATAAGCAAGCAGTAGAACCCAGATTTTGGGGTGCCTGGGTGGCTCAGTCGTTGGGCGTCTGCCTTCGCCTCGGGTGATGATCCCAGGGTCCTGGGATCAGGCCCTGCATCAGGCTCCCTGCTCCACGGGAAGCCTGCTTCTCCCTCTCCCACTCCCCCTGCTTGTGTTCCCTCTCTCGCTGTGTCTCTCTGTTAAAT